TTTTGAGAGAGGTGCTCATGTTATAGCAAGGAATTGAAGGTCAATTATATCAAGATTTTGAAGAATTTAACCTTGTGCGTGAAGATCAACATCTTTTGATTTATTTCATGATCCGAGTGATATTTTTGTATTATTCTTTTTGTAATTTATATATCAACATGTTATGCTAGATTCGCTTTTGTATTGGATGTAGATGAACCTTATTTGTTTTAATTCAAAATTAGTAATTTAGTTTATTTATTGTGTTTCTTGATTAATTTTGCATACTCATTGCATTATTTAATTGATTGACCACCAGTTAGATAATTAGTTGCTTATTGTAGTGTTGTGAGACTCACAATAAGTTTAGAACACTGTAAAATTAACATATGTGCAATAGATGTTAGGAATAACATTTATCACATGTGCAATCATATAGATAATCTAAACTTTAATGCATTCTAATAATTCGAATTCGGGTTAAGAATAGATTCGGGTCGTTGTTAGAATAGATTTAATTTGTTTTGGAAAAGAAAATTATATATCATAATGTTATCGATTGTCAAGAATGCATGAACGAAATTAGATTACAAATCAAGAATTGAAATAGATAGCAATAGACGGATTCAAGATAAAATACAATCATCCATAATTTGATACAAAACACTTTTTTACCTCTTTCTTAGATAATTTAGCATAAAATCAAATCAAAATCTCTATTTCCTTTACATAATTCGAATTCCATACATAACTAGTAAATTTGAATTGAATTTATTTCCTGTGGGACGATAACTCTCAACTTATCAATTCTATTACTTGTCAACGATCCCGTACGCTTGCGGGTTTTGCACGAACAGATAGTCTTCACTAAAACTTATGATGTTGATCGTCTACCAAATCAATTCAAATAGGAAGAAACAAAGAAATGAATATATTACATAACAATTTCTTAATTATATTAATGCCAGAAGGTTGTCTGCATCCTTCAAATTTGTTAATAATCGTACATTGCTGACTTATACTTACCTATTAGCACTTAAACAAGTAAAACAATTTATGACTAACTAGACAACTAACAATCTTTTTATCAGATTAAACAGACTAAAATAACAAGAAAGAATTTAACCAAATTACTAGAATCAAATTTTCTTAATCTTCGTAGCCATTGTCCACACTCCACAGCACATCCCCTGTTCACTTATCTGTCTTCTGCTCATCTGTAATAGGTTTATCTTCGATTTCCATTTCCTCTGCTGTTTCAGTTTTAGTATCCACTTGTTTCTCTTCTGTTATCTTCTGCAATGTTTCAGTTTCTAAACTGTTTGCCTGATCAGGCATGATAGGTTTCTCTTCCGGTCTCTTTTCCTGTAGTGCATCGACCTTTGCATTCTCCACTGATTTCACTTCTTTTATCGTCTCAGATGGTTCAGTTTCTAAACTGTCTGCAGTTGGTTTTACAATTTCTTTCTTTTCGTTTGAGGCCTCAATAGTATCAGCAACCAGTTCAAGAGACTTTACGTGTGCATTTTCTTGGGGCTTAGCTTCGGCCAGTACATCGGAGGCTTTTTTGGTTTCAGATGATGTTTGTTCTACTAGGTCATTTGTTGATTTATCACTTTCACTCGATCCCAGCTCCCCATCGTTCTGGATAAGCATTCAAACAATTTTGATTATCTCAGATAATATATCTCAAGCATTAGATTATTAACATTTGCAAATTTGATCATTTGAAGTGTTCCAATACAATATTGACATAGAAGTATGTTCTACTGAACTAGATGAGTCGAAATAAGAAAGACACAAGAAAGTCTTTTGTCTTGTTCTGTCCATGAGACGGGAAACGACAAGTATTAGTCCCACACGTTTAAAGTGCAATACTGTTCATTACAGCGTACCAACCATGTCCATAGATTATCAAAACGAGTAGATCAATCTCTCTCTAAAAGCAACATAAAATTAAATGTTACTAAAAATGCTAGACAGCCTGGTGTCACTAAGTTTACAACAGTAAGAACAAAACATGCAGAAAAATAAAGTGAAAAACACAAACAAAGAGAAAAAGACATGTTGTGGGTCATAATTAAATGAGCTGTTTAATTGTCCTTAAACCAAGATCCAATAAACTTTCAAACTTTATCACTATGACTTCACGGGTTTAAGGATAATTAATCAATTAATTTATGCAAATATTTTATAGTTGAAAATTTAACAAAGATAACAACAATTAACGGCTCGAAAAGCAGTGTTTATTTTGGAAGGATTATGGAAATTTATGCTTTGAATTTTTATTTTTTTTTGATAACTGTGTACAAACCAGTTTGCGCGCACCTCGACTAATCCGACGGGGTCCTAAAGTTTACGGTCGGATACTCACTTCAGCGGCAATGAGACGACTCGAATTGGTGACCAATGTGTAAATCCAAGGCCTGAAAATTTGTGCTTTGAATTCTCTAAACATCATTTAAACAAAAAATTATTTGATTCTTTGCTTATTAAACATCTCCATTTTCAAATTGTTCACACACAGAGACACATTTCTATCCAAAATCCAAATGATAATCATCACATTTACGACAAAAAAACCAAGAATTCAAGATTCAAAAGATAATGAACATAAAAAGAATAACTGATCATGCATTAACATATTTTTACCTCGAATAAAAAACCAAGGGATTTACGCTTGGGATCGTTATCAGCCACCACCCCTTCATCCTTAGCAGCTTCCTCTCCCACTATCGCCACCTCTTTCGCCTCCACCTCCTCCTTCGGAACAGGCGGCGGAGCCTCGGTTTCATCACCCTTCGACACCTTTGGCTTGGTTGCACAACCTCCCATTTTCTCTTATTTTATGTTGCAAAATGATTATTCTCTACTTTATCTATACATATGTATCTATTTGTGTGCGTGTATGTATTCTCTCCCTCTCTCTCTAGAAAATCTTGGTTAGGGAGAGAATGTGAATGGCAATGAGTAGAAAATGAGATGATTCATTGGACGCGAAAGCAACATTTCGTATTCATTCAATGGTACAGAGATATTTTTGGTAGACTATTTATGACTCAC